CGCCCGCATCCCCCCGGCCCCCACAGCCACACCCACCCCCACACCCCCACACCCACCCACACACACACCCCACACCCACACCCACACCCACACCCACACCCTCAGATATATGACAATGATAATAAAAATATAATTATCTCTATATAAAAAATTTATTTTTAATTAGAACTATTGTACAAATATTCTATTTCATTTATAGAAAAAAAATGTAAAAGACTTAAAACACCGATAATTTGTTCATTTATTTGAAATATCTTGCTTCGTAATGATTATTTTGAAGAAATTGTTAAATGAAACTTGAAAAGAGCTTGATAAAAAAACAAACTGGGCTCATATGAAGTTTAATAAAACCATCATTATTGAGCACAAGAATCAGAGAGTGAAAGTGAGGGCGAGAATGTACTTAAACTGTACATGTAACCTATTGCGAAAAAAGAAACATAAATGTTCATCTATGAATTTATTGGATTATTCATCGACGCTATATATTTTTTTTTTCGACGAGGTCATTTATTCATTTTATTCAATGACGCCAATGGATAGAAAAAAAAAACAATGAACATATATGTACATATGTTCTATGAATGTGTTAAGCATAGCATTAGTCAAAATTAATATGAATCGGTCAAATGTTAGTTTTCTTGATCTACCCAATGAAATATTATTTTACATTTTAAAGAAACTTAACAATATCGATGTTCTCTATTCATTATTGGATGTTGATAATCAACGACTTGATATGATAGTAGAAGATAAAACGTTTACTAACAATCTCAATTTTGTATTAACAATGTCAACTGATGATATTTTTCCGATTGGTGATTCCATACTTAATCGATTCTGTATTTCAATATTGCCAAGAATTGGTCTCAATATAAAGTCTCTTATTCTTGAATCAGGATCTATGGAACGTATTCTTCTTGCTACCGATTATCCTAATCTATATGAACTTAAACTCTTCAATTTCAATAACAAAATCGCTTCACATTATTTTACAAGTAAAAAAACTTCTGTGCTGATGTGAACATTAATTTCGATAGATACATTCTATATCCTGCACAGTATCTAATTGGTTTTTTTTTTAGTCAAATCACCAGTTCATCATATTTTTCAAAAACAAATTACAAATCTAATTCTTGTATGCAAAACAGATAATAATATTTTATCGATAGAACAATACACAGAAAATGTGCACAAATATATATTTAACTTCTGCGAAAATCTAAAGCATTTGTCTTTTACGGGATCATGTGTGCGTTTATCATTTCGTAATTTACCTTTGACAATCTGTTCTTCTTCAACTCTTTACAAATTATCTATTAGTGTAAATCGTTTTGAAGATTGTCTTGCTTTACTTGATGGTCGTCTCAATCAACTGAATTCGTTTTTTGTTGAAATTTTTAATGATAACTATCAATCATCAATTGTTAACAATATGGTAAGGTCATATATAATTATATTAATTATTTTTTCAAATTAAAAAATATTGATCATACTTTTATTTTATAATAGATTATTTTCATATGAATTACTATTTATTAAATATTGATAAAATCTTTATGATCTATTTGATGAGAAAATATAGGAAATTTTCTATCTGATATTTTGACATATAAGTTTATTTGAATAAATAAATCGGAATCATAGAATTTCATATTAATGAACAAACTGTTGATTTGTTTATAAGTATTAAATATATCCATACTATAATTTTTTCTAATATTTCTAAAATAATTGTTTAAAGTATAAGATTGAAAACATTTATCTTAAGATATTTTAAACAATATATCTAATTATCAGAAAACTGGATAAAAGATCAAACTTTTCCATCATAGTTATGAATAGTGACTGCTTTTTTACGCTTCTATTAGTCCATTTTAGTCATTTATGTTCTTTTATAATAATAACATAGTGAATACGTTAGAAATAATAGCACACTTTGTATTTTTTCAGCTTTCTCAGAGTTCATACATGTGAGTTGTTAAAATATTCTTCATTGAATTCTCTAGAAAACGATATAATTTCATTCAACAAGTGCGATTCTGATTATTTTTTTAACTATCGATACCAGTATTTGAAACAACCATCATAACTTATTAAAATGTTTGTTCTATCTAAATCATTTTATGTCTTATTGTGGAACTGATCTCCATTTTCGAAGAAAATAGTGAGTATAAGTTTAACGTTGAGTTTTTGCCACTCTTGACATCCTTTCTTTGCAGACATCTATGTGCGACAGATTTTACACTTTATCTATTATGCGTATTGGTAGAATTAGGTTAAAGTTCGTATGTGAGTTCCACATTTTAGCCACTAATGTGCTGCGCTACTAAGCTTTCTGAACTGTCTCATTATGTGTGGCATTGTTCTCATATGCTAGTAGTATATTGACTGAGTTAACTGACTTCAAATGTTATATCTATTGAGCTTGGGAACAAATAAAAACAAAATTCAAGATGATAGACTGCATAAAATTGTTTGTAAAATGGTTTACATAAAACCGAAATTTTAAGAAGTTTTGATGGTGGTCCTAAATGCTGATATTAACTGTCGAAAAATAAGCTAGATCACACTTGCTGATTGAAGCATGCCGTTTTATGATGAATTGAACGCAGAATTTTTTTTGGAAAAAATCTCACTTCTCGGCACCTTTAGGAAGACGAGAATAATGAAAAATATAAACTTTGCCATTATTTGTGATGCACCTATTTAATTACTGCATGTAAAATATTCGAATTATCTCATCAATGTTTTGAATTATCTCTTTTCTGATAAAAGTTTCGAAAGTTCCATTTAATCGTCTTATTCATTATTGCAGTAGAATGTTTATATAGAAATATAAAGCTATTAGCACAATCCTTAACAGATTGAAATGTTAAACACGATATCGTTATGGTTGCTAATCACACGAAGACTGTTCAATTCAATTGACATTTTAGAAGAGATTTCATTCTCTTGTTGCTTAATCCTTGAAACGTGCAATAAGGAACTAGTCAATATATTGTAGCAAGTTGCTACTGATGTAAGATCTGCCATCGTCTATCAACACATATGCCATGGTCTCTGATGATCTCTGAAACTCGTATGTCGTGGAATGTGTGGAAGGGGGGGGGGGGGGGGGGGGGAGTGTGGCTCCTTTTGGCGTGGAACTTGCGTTTCGGAGTGGTGGTTGCAGATTCCAGTGTGTT